CAATGTCAGTAGCCGGTGAGTTGGCCTTGGGAGTCTTCGGGGGTAAAGTTTTGAGAACAATGGAAAATTCAGTTGTACGAGTTACTTATACAGTGACATTGAAAGTGTTTAACGCATGAAGAGACGGTGCATACGCTTGCTGGGTCATGTCGTCCGAATGAATGAAAGCGCTTCAGCTTTGAAAGTATTTAATGCGGCACCCGATGGTGGAAACAGTGAAAGACATCCAGGCCGTGAATGCTCACCTGGTCTCATTTAAGAAGGAATGAATGGAATAGCAAAGATGATGCATCTGGGGCTTCGGAAAACCAGCATTTATTGTAGAAAAGCCTTCACATTCTTAAGAACAGCTGTTGATGCAGTTTACGGTCCGGCGTGGCTATTGGGCCTTACTTTTTCGAAAATGAGGCTGAGTGGATTGTGCTGTGGTGAGCTGATTAATAATTTTTCTGTGGCTGATGTTGTAGGATATTGACCTTGACAACGTTTACTGTCAACAAAAAGACGCTACGTGCCACAAAAGCAACGAAATCATTGATCTTCTAAGCGAAAAGTTCTGGACCGTGTTATCTCTTGAAGAGGTGATGGAGATCATGTGATTTAACAACTCGCAACTTTTTCCTTTGGAGCCATGTGAAAGCTAAGGTCTATGCCAACAGACCCTCGAACAGCAACAGACCCAGCTTGCGATTTGGCGATGATTAATTTCAAAAAAAAGAAAAAAATCCTGAATTATGGCTGATTTGCCTATAATCGCCTAAGCCGTGTCTACTGCGTGGAACTATTGATTCATCCCTACATTGCTGGTTGCTAAAACCAATGAAGCTTAATCAGAGGCTGGCTTACCTCAGGCGACTGTGCATCTAGAAGAAGTTCTTTTGGAAAGTTTTTGAAATTTCACGCTACTCCAACTGTGAGGGCCGCGACAACTAAAATGTTTTATTGCACAAACCAAACTAAATTTTTTGCACTGCTCACGCGCTCTAAGAATTATATAATCGAGCGATTTTCAGAATTTTCGTGCTCTCTACACATCTTCAAAATCACTCAAATGACGTTGAAGCTTGTCACGCATATCGCCGTACATATCTACCCACATAAGTAAATACGTACACATGTAGATCTAATCGACAGGAAAGCGTCTACGTAATATTTGCACCGAACACAATCAATATATCGACAGCACTTTACCCCTCGGTGAGCAGCAGTAGCAGCAGCAGCAGCAAACAAGTCGATTTTCAAACGAGCCGTGCACACACTGACACACACACACACACACCACATCGTCAAGTTCAATATCAAATTGTATTAAGGTTATGTGCGGTTTCGGATTACACAATGCAGCTCTACATAGCAGTCTTCCGAGTGCAGCGCGTTGCATGGTGAAGAACGTCTTTCGAACAAAATGATTGTTGCAAATTCGAGAGGCGAGGTCATATTGTGGTGGTTGTTACATATGTGTGTATGTATGTACATATGTTTGTTGGTACAAAGGTGCAACCAATTTGCGCAAACATGAGAAGCATATATTTAGGCGCATACATATATGATCAAACACATACAAACAGTGCTTTGTGGGACATATCCTCTTTATAAGAAAGTCCAACCATTTTCTGCGTATGACCCAGTATATATATATATATGTGTATATATATATGTGTGTGTGCATGATTGTGTCTCGTAGAGGAAACTGCCACTTTGGTGCGACTAACTACCGTGATTGCTGTTGCTACTGCTGTTGTTGTTGTACTACTATTGTGTCTTGTCGTTGTTGCCTTCACCTTTCAGCAGCCGCACTTGACTTGCCAGCGTCGCATACAATTGCCGTTGATGAGTTGTGGCGGTGTCAGGCGGTGTCAGCTCATCTAATATTCCAAATCGATATTTTCTGTATTTTACACACACATACATATATGCACACTTATACATATATTGAAATATACATATTATACATATACATATACATACATGTGAGTGAGTATGTGAACCATAAAAGTGCTTTTCACTTTTATCGCACACACTCACACATAATGTATGCATTTGATGGTGTAGTTCAAGCATTTTATTTTTGCTGCTGCATATATAACATGTATTTACATACATATATACATATTATCAAGTGCATTCATGCATGTGTTTGAATGCATGCCTTCACGCTACTATTTCCTGCGCTACTTTTCTCTCTTTGACCTTTCTATGTTTGCTTGAAACCCTTTGTCGCATGTTGCATGCTTCATGTTGCATGCTGCTACTTTACACTTGTTCGCTTCACTGCCGCTTCCGTTGTTTCGCACTTTTACACTTTGACACATAACAAATTCTGTTTTTTTATTTTTATTTAATTTTTTGTTTTATTAATTTCTCTACACATTCGTCTCTCTCCTGCCACAATTGCTCCTCTCTCTATTACAACTGCTTGTTGTAAGTTTAATTTTACATATCCCGTAGGTAGCCAGTGCTCAGTGGTTCCGCTTATATAGAATTATATGTGTGAGGAAGCGCTTTTATAGCAGTCACCTTTGGCCGAGATTGACAGGTTTTGCTGCTCCTTCGCTCCTCTCATGCATCAAATGTACGTGTTTGCCACTGTCGAGATGTTTGCACGTCGAAGCAGCTTGTAAATCAACATTGTTTTTAATATTTATAGATACTCCGGAATGGCCACATGATCTACTAAAATGAGGGTGAAGATTAAAATGATTTATTCTTCTTCTTCTTTTTTAGCGTTAGCACCGCTGATGTGATTATAGCCGAATAAATATTAGCGCACAATTCCTTTCATTTTTTCGCTGTCTGTAAATTGGAGAAGGAGCTGAAAATTGTTTCGGCGGATACAAAGCTCAGCCAGCGACTCCAATTGCTTTGTTGTTTTTGGACGGGCATTCGCTGTTCGGTCAAATGCGCATAATTGAGCTTTTTCCACTATCATCAGTTGGAGTTTCAGGTGAGCCCTAGCCGGGGTTTGCATTTTCACTGCCATTCAGCAAGCTGAAGATGTGTTCCCTCCATGCGCCAGGTATGCTCTGGACATCGGTTACTATATGTATCACATCTCTGGCTCTACAAGAGCTCCCTTTGGACTTAAAAGATTCTGTTAGTCGCCGTATCTTTTCATAAATTTTCGAGTATTACCCATATCGGTCAGCTTCTGATCTTAATCATACTCACGCATCTTCATACTCACGCATCTTAATCTACTCTTTTTTTTGACAGCACATCGTGCTTCCCTCTTCAGCTCTCGGCGTCTATCTCACCCCGCACGTGTTGTGGTCGATAGTAAGGTTGTTTTCTCTTCACAGCAGTTCGACATTCCTAATCGGCGAAAATCAATAGTCCCTGTAGCGGCGGTACATAGGCAGCTTGGGATGCTGTTCCACAGTTCCTTTATATAAAATTGCTGATGCGTGCTCTCGGAAACACCTGCCTTCCAAGTCGAGTAAAAAACCATTCAACGTTGAACCTTCCTTGTGTTTGTTGACGGGTGTTCTTTCATTGCTTCACAGAGGCGCATGCGTATCTTCGCTGCAACAAGATAATGGTCCGAGTCAATGTTGGTTCCTCGGAGTGTACGCGCGTCAAGAACACTGTATACATGTCTTCCGTCTACCAAAACATGATCGATTTGGTTATGAGCTATTCGATATGGAGACAACCAGGTAGCTTGTTGATCAGTGGCAACCCATTTGGGAGTGTTTCGTTGTGGAGGCTGGATTTTACGACAGTTGTGTTGAAGTTATCCTCTCTGGACACCCTTGCGTTAAAGTCGAGTTTTAAATCGTGATGAGAGCGGCGCTTATAAGTAAGCTCCAAGCGCTTTCGAAAGGCATCTGTGGTCACATCGTCTTTTCCCCTCCCGCTATACCTTAAAAAGTTTGGCTTTGATCAACAGGTGTGAGGGCTTGTACTCAACGACGGAGTCTCTCTCCTACCACAAATCTGATGCCAAGTTTACCCTTCTTTAAGTGACATATTGCACTTGAATCTACATGTCTTATTCATCGCATTTCTTGAATGACGGTGATGTGAGCTTTTTGTCTAACGAGGACATCAACCAGGCAGTGATACGCTCCCATCGTGGTCCTTAATACATTTGCAGCGTTCGTCATCAAAAGTGAGTCTCTTAACCGAGGCGTTGTTAAACGTTTCTACGTAGAGGGTCCAAGACCCAGCGCCCAACCTCGCTTTTGACCCATTTTTATAAAGCGAACTGCTTGCTATACGATCGACGCCCGCTTGCAGCCGCAATTCTGGGGAAGAGACGCTGAATTTAGACTTCATCGAACCCTTAAACCCAATAAGTCGGAGTGGCTACCGCATCTTGCACAGGGTGCGCGACGTGAACGCAAAAGTAGGAATTGAGTGTAGCCCCGCGACTATAATATCATAACCCCATTACGCGCCGGTAATGGCATTATTTAGTATTAATTCATACACAAATGTTTCATTATGGACTCATTGCCGTGAACTAAAGCACTCTTTTTTTTGAAATTATTTCCAGTTTGAATTTCTGATAAATTTAAAAGTATGAAAAATTTCAAAAAAATCTGGTCTAAGTATAAAAAGCGCGTGCTCTCTTAAAACAACGCCAACTCTCTTGCTGCTCGCTCTTCTCTTCATTAGCTGTCCACTGAGCCTGCCCTAATGCGATTGCAAAGCTTTTGTGCTTGTTAAGCAAAAGCTCTAAAGCCGCAAACGAAGTTATCCTTATAGCAAGTGCATACAGCGAAGCAACGCATAAAAGTAAACAGTTTGACCAAAAACGATTTAGTCTTCGTTATCAATTCAACGCGAACAGAACGTGACTGAGAAAGTTTCAAAATATTTTCAATTCACTTCACTTCACTTCACTGCTCTTGTGCTGGTAGCTTGGCTAAGAACGGAAGTAGTTGTGGCAGTGCAGGAGGTTAAGAGAAGAAACAATGTGTTTATGTACAGAAGAGTAAAGTAGGCGAGAGCCAAAAAAAAAAAAACAAAGAAAAAAATGCAACAAAAGTAAATTGAAGAGCCAAACAAAAGAAGTAGAATAAAAAATAAAGTATAAAAGATATAACAAAGCGTCCAATGAGACCGTGAGACCGGCAAAATAAGCAAAAGTGAAAGTGTAAAAAACAAGTGTGTGCATGTGTGTATAAATTTCTGTTTGTACGTATATGTTCGTGTAATTGTATCTTTCTATCAAAGCAAGTGACCGTAATACAATTGGCAAATAACAAATAAAGTTTGCGCTAACTTTCCATTTCATTTCGCTTGCCGTGTGTGTGGTCGGAAAAGTAGAAAGCCGCAAACGAATTAGGGCAAAAGTAAAATAATTATGTTGTAAATACATATGTGTATGTGTAATTGTAAATATATATGTGTGCTTAAGTAAATGTCTAGATATTCATACATATCAAATGGAATGAAATCGTGAATTTTTCATTTTTTTTCGTTCTCTCTTTGGCGCAGACACTGACAATTTGTGCATGGATAGGCGATTACAAAAACAATAGTTTTTCAAATAAACCGCCAATCAGCTTTATGTGTAACGGGTTTAGTTGCTGCATTGTTTATTGGTGGTTTAAGCTAGCGTTGTTTGTGTGTACACACGATTTCCTTCTAAACTTTGGACGTTTTTATATTGGTGGAGTCTACAACAACAAATTGTGTTATTGTTTTCCATTTTACTAAATTAAGCGCAGATAAAATTAATTATGCCAACGGATACATAAATAAATAATTGCTGACAACAACGCGATTGCTTTACGCTTTCGTTCTGTGCAATGTGAGTATAATTAATTATGTATGTTGTTAATGCAGCTACTGCTGCGTATATCAGAGTGTTGCTGTGAATTATTAATCAATTTTAAATGAATATTTTTGCGAGTTTATGAATTATTGTTGCTGGATTAAAAATATAGCAGTTGAGTCTAATTGAAATGAATAAATAGAAAACTAATTGATAAAAGAAATACAAATAAATTATGAGGAACATTTTCAAGTTAATTTAATCTTAATTTATTTTTAATTAAAATTTTTCGTTTTGAAACTTGTAACTTGAAAAATAATTATAAAAATATATTTTTAACCTTTAATACTCTGTGTTTTTTTTTTTGTGAAAACTTTTAAGTAAAATTAAAAAAAAAAAATAATTATATATATATATTTATAATATTCCAGTTTTTATTAACGTATAATATTCGATTTTCTGCTATTGGCATAAGGTTTAATTTTATGGGATAAAAATATTTTTAGAATTTTTTTTTCAAAATATTTATTAATAAACATTATATAATTTTTTATGATCACTTATTTGTTATTATTTACTATTATTGATTATTAATTATTTATTGTTTTTAATTTATTATTAATTATTGTTTTTCATTATTTATTACTATTTATGTATTGTTTATAATTTATTTTACTTCTTCCATTATTAATTTTTTCTTTTTGCTAATTTGTTATTAATTGTTAATTTTTTATTTTTTATTATCTGTTTTTTAGAATTTATTTTTTCTTACTTTTTTCGTATTCAGTATTCAATATTCAATATTAATAATAAAATAATAAGATAATATTTTATTTTTAATATAATTAATATTTTTTATTATCTTTTTGTTGTTGATTAATATGATTTCCACTATCATCAGTTGGAGTTTCAGGTGAGCCCTAGCCGGGGTTTGCATTTTCACTGCCATTCAGCAAGCTGAAGATGTGTTCCCTCCATGCGCCAGGTATGCTCTGGACATCGGTTACTATATGTATCACNTATTTATTTAATTTTTAATAGTTTCTGATTAAAGCTTACTACTTATTACTTAGTATATGGTATTTTCGTTATTATTTAATTTAACAAAAATTCCTCAAAGCCGTGAGAGTGAACGAATAAAATATGCCTTACACCGGTCAATAGTTTATAAGTTTAAAGACATTTGGTATTGTTAGCACTATAATGGATTGGGATGTATATTTTGTTTAAATTTTATTTTCTGATTCCACAAAAAAAACTCAATTCATTGTTATAAAAGCTTAGAAATTAACAGATTTTGTTTATATGAAAAATTATAAACTTTTCTTTGTGTCTCAAAAAAACAAAAAGCTTGCTGTGTATTATGCCTTAAATCGTCTTGCCGTTCGACAATTTTTCCTGCAAGCAGAGTAACATACATATATGAACTTTTTTACACTAGTTGAACTTAATATTTTTCTGAAAGAAATAGCTTGCGGTAGTCGCGTGTATAATAATCAATATGTTGCAATGTGTAATAAGCTAATATTTTAGTCAGAATTTCAAAGAAAATTATGGAAAATAATTATTTTATTTTGTGCGGAAATTTTCACCCTTCTATTGAATCCCCTACATGCAAACATAAGATCTGTATAAAAATCCAACAGTGTTTATTGATTATCAATTTTATATATGCCGCAATTTTATCTGAATTTTCACATCATTTGTTAAAGGTACGACAGCGCGTATGAGTAACATTTTGGAATACTATATTAATATTTACATTTTACTTCGTAAGTACGGTATAATCGGCTTCAGAAAAAAATACAAAATGTTTAATAAATAATGTTAAAGCCACAACCACTTATTCGTGTACATTTGAGTGCCCAATATATATACATATATGCATGTGGCTTATCACTTATCCCTTAGTACGAGCATATTGACATGTTGCTAAAATCGCCTTATGTGTTCATATTAGTTATGTACATATGTACACCTTTTTCAAACAAAAAAATATTTTCCCAATATATATTATTTACTTTGATTGACGTGTGGGTCATGAAAATTACACGAATTTTGTGATAAAATAATTGACATATTATTGCAGTCTATGCGGCAAAGAGAAATTACTCATACGCCACGTGTTGTCATTTTGCGCTTTTTTTTGTTTTGATTAATCACAAGAACGTTTGGTATAAAATAAATAATTTTCGTAAAAAATAAAAAAAAAAAAAAAACTTATGAAAAATGAAAAAGGCGGTAAAATGTTTAAACAAAAATAAATAATAATTGTTAAAAAAAAATTATAAAAAAATATACAATCGTTTAAATTTAAAATATATTAACATAAAGCTTATGTGCTAACACTTACTTCTTTGAGCTAAAGAATTGAATATAACAATTGTTAGAATTCATTGTATTTTTGCGGCATTTTTAATTTAAAATTAATTAAAATACATTAAAAAACTCACAAATTGTTCGAACGACACGTGCCATGCTTAACCAGCAGTCAATACTTTAAGCCGGCTAAGCATAAAATTTTAATTTTTATTATATTGATAAAAAAAACACTTCAGTTAAACTCAGCAGCGAACAGCTAACAGTAAAGCCGTTTTCTCTTATAAAATATGCACAAGACCTGTAGACTGTAGACAGTATTAATTTGGGAAAAGTTGCAAATTTCCTTCGTCATTTAATAATTAAAACTTTACTTATCCATTAGGCAAGTCACTTTTCACCACACAACCGCAAGAAAGCAAAACATACTGCGTCAGCTCAATGCTGTTGGCACCGCCACTTAATTGCTTACAACGCAAAAATATTAAATCGCGCCTGCAAACCGCCGCTGTTCCGCGCATACTGAATTAGTGCAAATAATTTCTTTTACGCAATGCGAATTATAAAGTCATGAAGGTTAACAACCTGGCCATTTTATAAAATTACAAATACGCTTTTCACTCGTGTTTGTGGCCACTTAGCACCGTCGTTGTGCACTACAACGCAGCGCGGCAGTAACACTATTCCCTTTCACTGTTTAGTGGTGCCTCACCTTTTGTATGTACGCGCGTGTGTGTGTGTGTGGGTGTGTGTGTCTATGGCCGATAAGCACTCGAATTTTCGTCGAAAAGTTTATTGGCTGGCCAAATTTTCATGTTTGTATAGCATAAAAAGTTAAGCGGATAATATGCACGGAATTTCACATCTCCTCACAACCACACCCACAAACACTGGTGGGCGGATATACGTGTATTGTATGTATGCATTGTTCCCATACTCCGGGAGAGTGGTGTTAAATAATGGAAATTAATGCCAACATGCTGAGATTACTTGCTTTTCGAGTTTTTATTGACGTACGCTTGCGTTGAGTGCTAAAATGTTGTACCCGAAGTATGGAAAATTAAAGAAAATATGTTTTTTATGTGAAATTGTTAAATAAATATAGCTGAATTAATTTCTTAATATATTTTCTGTTTTTAGCTTATTTTAAAAATAATATAAAGTGAATCCTTGTTTGGAAAATCGAAATTAAAAATTTCGATATTATAAAATAAAGTTTTAGTCGGTAAGAGTGCCTGCAGCTGAAGGGAAAACCACTGACCTAAGTCTAGGCAAGCCCATCACGAAATTAACCCGATTTTCACAAATCATTAGCAATATCCAGTACTACATTTCATATGAAAAAGATTTTCTCTTAAAGCGACTACCTTTCGGCAGGAAATGCCAATATCTCTGAAAGTATTTTCGTCGTGAAAACGAGTGTTAAAACAAAACTTTAAATGCTCGGAAGGGAAAGTTTGACCAAAATTTCCCAAGACTAGAAAAATTATTTTTTAGCTTTTGGCGTCAGAATTGCTAACGCGTTTAAGATGTATGGGGAGAGAGGAGTGAATGAGACGTCAGAGCAGCTCTCTTTATCTGTCCTGTTTTATGCAGCATATGGCTTAGATATTTGGGAACCTTTCTGTTCAGAGCATGAGAAAAAGTTTAGACACAAAACTCCTTTAGCACTTTTGTATAAAGCGTTAACGTCCTACTGGATGAACATCTTGCACAGAATACTAACAGCTTACAATATAAATCAAACAATAAAATCTTTTTGTATTTATTCGTAATCTTTGGCCTTTTTCATCTTCTCTACAAAATCGCCATTGATTTCATTGCATTTTGTGAGCCTATAAATCCACTTCTGAAAACAGTTCTCAAAAACTTGCTTTTTATGCTCATCAAGTTCAGCATTAACTGCATTAGTCATCTCCTCGTTGCTGTTAAGGATCTTTTCCTTTCAATTTTGTTTAATTTTTTGGGGAATTCTTGTTTCCAACAAAGTTTTGAAAACTCTTTTTAAGCACTCTACGGTGTACCACTTTGAATGGTTAAGTCAACTGACATCATTACTTTAGCTACTGATTTTTGTTGCTTAGATTTTAGAAATGGGTCTGCTTCTGGTAGACTCCATACCATGGACTGCTTAAGGTGCGTACTTATAGAACCAATATTCCTCCGAAATAAGGACTTTACTAAATTTGCCGGACCCACCATTTTTGTTTAGGAAAAATTAAGCAAAATGCACTCGAGCCTCTTTTTGGGCCTCATTTAAAATTCGTGCCAAATGAAATTTGCAGGCAAATTAAAAAATCTGACGCATATGAATATTCAAATTTGTATAAAAACAATAAAAAAATAAAAGTAAAGTAAAACACATTTGGTCTTTATCTCAAGCAAAGGTGAAGCATATAAAAGCGAGGCACAAAGACCTGCTATTAAGAATGTCTGCCCTGTCTTCTTATAATTTTCTTAAACCTAAGCGATAAATCAATATATTTTTGAGAGGTATATCTTGAGTTAAGTTGTAGTTTAACTGTAGTCGCTGTGATGGCAGGACATTGTCTTCAATAATTTTATCGTTTCCACGTATAAATATATATAGAGTTTATGAACGACGATGTGTTTTCTACTTATACCAAAAAAAATCTTAAAACCCACTTCATCTTCTACCAAAACCTGTCACTCTTCATTATACGAGACAGGTAAATATATTAACATATTTCATAAAT